GAAATCCATCGCAGGGGGTGTGTGTGTGTGTGGATGGGGGTGTGGGGTGGGGGTTAGTTTGGAAAATAAAGACAAGGCAGGGTTAAGGGGTCTCACTGCCCCCTCGAGTACGAGAGCATCTGAATTTACAAAGTGTCTGAAGGCGTCTGAGGAATTCAAAATATATAGGGTTTGAAAGTTTTAAGAATTCTGGGTATTTACAACGAATGGGGTTCTCGGGAGCCCAGGGGCCTGTGGAGGTTTACGGAGCAGAGGGGTACTCTTGAGACAGTAAAATAAAATGCCTGCAGAACATTTAACTTCCTTCGCAGTATCGCATATGACAATTCATGCACCCCAGGGGTGTGATACGGCCGTATTAAGAGTTCAGGGAAAGCATCTGGCAAGAGAGTAGACAAAAATAGCATATCACTGCATCGTCACATTATAGATCTCTATGGAAGATTAAAAGGTCCCTGGAGAATTCCTCTAAGGGTCAACGATGCAAACAGATGTCCTCCTCTGCCTCATAAAAATGAAAAAAACAGAAAGTGAGTCCAGAGAGTGAGGAATCAACAGCAGCATTCCACTTCACACCAACTACAGTGACTAGTACTGTAAAGAGCATCGCTCTCGGTGGAATTTCAGCTTCAACCTTACTTCACCTGTGTCATCCCTCTTGTCCACCAGCACATGTTTCTCTGCATCGCCCCCCCTGACATTTCACAACATCACATTAGAGCTTGATTTGTGTAATGTGGGATTTAAACCAATGACTGAAGGTTTTAGTTTAGAGATTTCGTGAGGTTCAAGGGTGCAAGGAGACGGAATTTGGGACAAAGGATCTGGCTCCAATCAGTGCATCTGACTCTGCACCCACAGGAAGGCCGAGCCCGAGGCCACAGTGGGGAAATCAAACCCATCTTTCTCAATTGTTCATTCCAGATATAAATATCTTCTGACAATGCAAAGAGCCAAGCTAAAGGTGAGCCGTGTGCCACTCTGACCTCCTATTTGTATTTTTACCCTCATGGGTCAGAGGCTACTGTGGATACATGTAAAAGTACATCCACATACACACTTCCCTACTTATCACTAAATCACATGCAAATGCACGCACACACGACAACACACCTACATGAACAGTGGCTGCACCTGGATGCACACACACATTCAGATGCATATGTATGAATGCTGCATGCACACATCCACACACACAAAAACTCATAAATGCAGTAACCCACCCATACCTAAATGTGCTTCAATGCACGACACACACGGATACACAGAAACACACACATGCATGCACAGACATTTCTTTTTAATTCAGCCTGATATGAACTGTAATAAGGCAGCAGTGGGGTGACTGGTTGCCTACATGGTGCTAGTCTGTGAGGAATGCTTTACGTGACAAGACTGAAAGACTTCAAAAGTCAGCATCTCATCCTCTTTTTACCCCATGAACACAAAATAATGTGTGGCAAGGCGCAAATATAAAACACAAGTGTTTCTGTGAAAAAAAAACCCTACAACCCCCATGGACTGTGCTGCACTCCCGCCAGCGCATGAAGTTATTCCTTTTTCAGTTGAAACGGTCTGACTCATGAATGAGCCAAGTTTGGAGCTGGCCCCCTACCAGTGCATTGTTTACCGACATCCTACTTAATTGCACAGAGTATATGAAATCATGCTAAAAATACCCGAGCACAGCAGGCTTAAAGGATGCAAGTCAACGAGTCAGCAGAGCTCTTTTTTACCGAGTGAAAGGTGCCTGAAGAGGCGATGCCGAGGGTAGCGTTACCTGCCTACTAGTTATCCCTTGCCTGAATACACATCCTGTCTCTTTCTTCAGAATAAGTGTGTCATCAATTTAAAACTGTTGCTGCCATTTATGACCACAGAGCAACATGACCTTCCTTTGTTCTCCTGTCAAAAAAAATCATATGACTCAAAGGAGGGAATGGCACCTGATTTCATCATCATCATGATCTTCCTGTAGTAAAGACACTTCACCACTCCAGTTCCACACTACTTCTTTTATTGGCTTGTGGTGAAATGACCCCAATTTATCCTGGAAAACTCTGACACAGGGTGTGACTTCCCAAAAAATCATGTGTCATAATTCTATGGACAATTTGAGGAGCTTTATTTCAGTAAAGGGACTCTCACACACACGCCTCCTTGATGGAAATTTTTTACAAACAATTAAATGAATGCCATGTTAACCTTATTAAGAGTACTGGAATACATTTTTAACTCCATTGTCCTCTTGTATCTACGAATAAAATAAAGTTTAAGTTTAAAACACTACGAATTTCATTCATAGTGTTTTGTGGGTGATTAATTTAGTTGTTTTTTAAGTTTGGATTGTTCTCATGTGGGATCAGTTCATAATGTTTTTCTCTCCTCATGGTGCGACCAAAAAAAAAAAAATCACACATCAACCACAATAAAAATCAGACCAGCACTTTCTATATTTGAGTATTTCATTCATGCCACCTGCATGGATAAATAAATGAATATCTAGCAAAACACTTTCCTTACAGCATGTGAGTAACTAGAAATTACACCAGAGGCCCAACTTAATGTTTTGTCACTTAATGTGTACCTTTAGACTACAGCTGTAGCAATTACAAAATCAATTATTTAATTGGCAGACATTCATTATTACATTAATTATTTGAATT